CCTTCTGCAGCCAGCTTCCCAGGAGAGGAGAGCACAGATTTTCATGCGGATGTACTCATCCTCCAGGGAGCCCCCACAGCATACGTTCCCCGAGAGCAACGGGCCCACCTGCTTTGTCTGCTATGCTTGTAAGCCATGTAACCACATTCTCTCCATGATGTGCAGTGAGATCATGGCTCCTCGTGATGTCGTGGCTGTCCTACATTGAGCATGTGCTCTAATCTGTCTGCAAAAGGGCATGTTACCTATCAGAGTATGTCCTGGTCTCTAGGCAACACGGGACTAGGTCTTATTGTTAGCCACACTCTAGGTAAACAGTAGGCACTCAAATATGTACTGAAGGAAGGAATGGGGTGTGGACATTTCAGGGAAACTGAGGGAAGAACTGAGTTTTCATAATGCACAGAAAGGCCTTATGAGACAGTAGCTTCCAAGGTACAGTAGCAGTTTCCTTTCTGCAAGTCATGATGCCTCCTAGATGGATGACTGCTATTGGCTTACATTTTATTGACCTCATAGATTTGTTTATATTGACTTGTAAACTGATTTTTATTTTATAGTTGTGATAGACCTATGAGCAAAAGCTGTTTTATGTTTACACATGGTAGTACATTATAATAAAAATATATTAGGTCAATCCTGAGGATCTGAAAGAAGTTTTTCTTTGGACAGATCTAATCTATAACTTGGGTGTGGTGGTGAACACCTGGAATTCCAGCACTATGGGAGTCAGAGGCAGGAGAACCCTTGAGCTTAGCCCCGGGGGCTTTAGTGACCCAGTGGGACCCTGCTGACCATTTTTCCAGATGGTTGAAGGCAAAGTGAACTCTATCCACTGAACAGCTCACTGTCACTGGAACAGAAGCTGGCAGTGAAAGCCAGCCAAATCTGAGATGTACGATAGGTTTTCTTGAGCAACGAATAGCAGAAGGTTTAGGTTTTATTGTCAGCGCTGCAGAGGGCTGGGAGGTGGGGAGAGGTCACGGAGATTCCAGCTTTGCTCTACCCACTGTCAGGAAAAGAATTTCTGCTTTAGAACCACCTGTCTGTGGTGTGTACCAGGCTGACACTGGATGAGGGGTGGGCCTCCCTTAGGAGAGTGGATCAAATGGGATGCTGATCCTGGAGGAAGGTGAGTCCTCAGACTACTTGTGAAGGATGGTGACAATGAGTGATCTGGCAGCGTTTATGGCCTCTGTCTTTTGTCAGCTCTTTGTAGTTGGGCAATTAGTGTTGGGAGCTCCTGTCCACAAGTGGGTGATGAAGTAAGCCTGGAGCCATGGGTGTAAAATCTACACTTAGTTGGAGCCTCTTTTGCAGGAAGAAGACCAGAACCGGCTGATCTTGTATGCTGAGACCCCCATGGTGCCCACCTACTTTGTGGCTGTCCAAGTGCCACAGGAGGGGGCCTCTAATGTATTGCATCTGTTTCCTTGTCTCAGATGTGAGTTTCAAAGGCCAAGGACCAGTGAGAGTACCTACCTACTCCGTGTTTTAGCATCAACTGCCTCTTTTCCCATCTCTTTTCTTTCTACACTTCTCCAAGAAGTCAAGAAAAGCAAACCAAAGGAAAGGTGTAAACTATATCAGTCAAGTTGAGCTGAAACACACCTCTGGATTTTGGGCACTCACCACTAAGCTCCAAATTCAGATCTACAAGATTTCTCATGAATAAGGAAGCAGAGAGAGTCAGAGAGGAACTTGGGGGAGGAAGAGCCGGCCAAATAGCTCAGTGGATTAAAGCGCCTGCAAGCACATGCAGGGGCAGAGGGTTCAATCTCCAGGCCTGCCACCGGCCTCACCCCCGGAGTGTGCTGAGAGAGCAAATGAGACCGGGCGTGGTGGCCCATGCCTGTAATACCAGCACTTGGGAGGCTGTAAACAGGCGGATCACTATGAGTCTGATCTAGTAGTGAGACCCTGAACACCCTGTAGTTTCTTTGCTAAAATACAGAAAGAAAAAAAAAAAAAAAAAAAGAATGGTCTGATTCCCTTCAACGCTCTCAGTGTGCATGAGGAGGGATGTTTTTAGGCTCACAGTTCTAGAGGTGTTGGTCCACAGCTGACCGGTTCCAAGGCAGAAGTGGCATGGTGGAGGAGGGTGCTGGGTGACAGCTGCTCTGCTCCTTCTTGGGGGATGGAAAGCAGAGAGGAGGAGAGGTACCCTTCCAGGTCACTTCCACAGTGACCACTTTCTTTTTTTTTTAATTTTAATTTTATTTATTTATTTATTTATTTACTTTTTTACATTTATTTATTGTGTGTGTGTATGTGTGTGTGTGTGTGTGTGTGTGGCCAGCTCAGCCCACCCGCGGGCGGGGCTGGCTGGCATGTGGTGCTGGGGGATTGAACCGCGGTCCCTGTGCTTTGCCAAGCTTGTTCCAAGTAGGTGCTTTAGACCACTGAGCCATCTCTCCAGCCCAGTGACCACTTCCTAATGGCAACTCAGCTCCAGCACCCCCAGCATCCAGGCCCCTTCCAGAAACCCCACCTCTGAACACGTGAGGTTTTGGCGGACATCTAAACCAAAACCATAACTGGAGCATCTGATGACCAGCGACCCAACTGCCGATCTGGAGCTCAGGTAAAACAGGAGGCGGACACACTCACAGGGTGAGTCCAGCCCCTTAGCTTGTCCCCGACTTCCTGGGCCACCTGGTTCCCTCTGCAGGCTCCAAGCTCTTCCCCAGCCAGCTGTCACTCAGAGCATCATGCTAAGTGAAATGGCACCAAGACAAATAGCACAGAAATCAGGGACAGTGAATTCCCTGGATGGCCCTGGAGGAGCAGCATGGTGGCATGGTGCCACCTAGACCTTGCTTTATGACACTGGGCTACTTTTCAAGCATGAGAGGAGAAACCAAAAATAAAATTCCGTATCAGATTTTAAAAAACAAATAATGGCTTCAGTTACCCACATAAAACGACTTTGTGTCTTCAGATGGTGGATCCTGGCCCCTGTCCTCTCATCTGTCTATGATTTCTTCTAGCCACCAGGATAAGGAAAGCCATGAAGAAAACACTTTGAGAAATAGCAGAGACCCAAAGCCAGAGGCCTCGATGGCTTGGAGATTTGTCAGAAGTGCCATCTGTGATATTTCTGGCCATATAAATTAAGGAGACTAGGGCCTATGTGCGTGTGAGGGGAGGGGACACCAAACACTGTCGGAGCCCAGCCCTGAGGGGCAGGGGTGGGAAGGCTACGTCACTTCTCAAACTATAGATGGTGCCAACAGTTAACATTTGGGAAAGAAGCAGGAGCCTTCTTCCCATGGTCTGCAGGGATCAGGAAGAGATACGGGGTTTCTGGGACCTTCCAGTTCTCCCCACAGACCAGGGACCAAAGTCTCTCCATGGGAACCTCGCTTCTCTCTTCATAAGCCCACAGAGAACCTGGGGGATAAAGAAGGTGCTGGTCAGATGCTGACCTCATGCATCCCTAGGTGGGGACAGCTGCGAGTGGACAGTCAGGGCCAGTGCTGAGATGTTCAGCCTGTGAGTTGGAGCCTCCCATGGTCCTAAACCAGAGGGACACTTTGTCTTTTAGTTCCCAGACACGTGCCCATGTCCATGAGTTAGGGTTGCAGCATGGAGTGAGGTGGGGCCGCGGTGCTTGTTCCTTTTCTCCTGCCACACTGGAGGGTGAGGCCTGCACCTCTCCATGTCTCCTTTAACCTGAAGCTCTCTGGCTCTTGTCACATGACACAGTGACCTCAACATGCTATGATTTAGGGAGACAAACTCTTTTCACTGATCGTTTTCCGTCCATGTGCTCATAGACCCCAATGCTTAAAGATCCCAAAGGAAAAATGGCACCCAATATGTCTCGCTGTGCTATAACAAATGAGAGAGGAGTCTGTGTTCTGGGTTCCTTCCCAGTAAGGAGACAGGACCGTCACAGTGACGCAGACTCCTCACCGTTCCCTCCAGACCCACTTCCATGACAGTGAGTGCCTTGGAAGATTTCGCTAATCCTTGAGCCCAAGCCCCGGATGTTTCCACCCTGAGCTCCTATGGTCTCCAGAGCAGGGATTGGATGGAGGCAGCAGGAGGCGTGGCTCACATTGGTGAGGCCAAGGTCTCTGCCGCTCTGCTCTTCATTACGGTCTTCCAGCTGCCTGCGCTGACTTCAGCCTCCTACTCAGGGTCCACAATGGATGACAGGTGTCAAGTTCTGTCTCATTTGGGGGGACGTATGGGCAAGGGCAGGCTGGCTTTGTCCCAGTCCCACATTGCAGGAGATTTTTTGCCTTAAATAAGAGTGATCCCTCCCCAAGTGGAGAAGCCCTCTGTCCCGTCTCAGGGATTCCCGTCTGACCTCAGGATCTGGAGAGCTCAAGACACAGAGGAACAGCCAGGTACATAGTGCACACCTATATTTCCAGAACAGTGGGAGCCTAAGGCTGGAGAATTTCAAGCTCCAGCTCAGCCTGAGCATCTTGGTGACTTAGGGTGACCCTGTTTCAAAATTTATTTAAAAAAATATGTATATATATTCAAATATATATTTGAAGCTCAGTACAAGGCCCTAGATATTCAATTATCAGTACCTAAAAAATAAACACAAAGGAGACTACATTGGGAGGTGCTGAAGTATTTATTTCACAGGGAAGGAGTTGGGGAGAGGAGGTGATCACCGATCAGATGCCACCAAGGAGACACTGTGAACCCCACACTGGGCAACAGGCAACTACAGGGTTTGAGTCCAGGCAGGGTTGGCCAGAGATAGAAGTGGAAGAAAGACGGGAGGTGGCGGAGGGTACCACACAGGCAAGGCTGAGCCACGCCCCGCGGCCGGAGAGCCACTGGCACGCGGCCAACCCTGCTGCTTCTGAGCTGCTTTGTCCCCGTCCAGTGAGCAATTAAGCGGCAAGCTCAAGGCCACACAGCTACATCTGCTCCACTCACAGCACACACTCAGACACGCACGCACGCACGCACACAGGCGCTCACGCTTCGATGCATGCACACACACACACACACACACACACACACACACACACACATCCATATATTAACTCTGATTTATAAGTGCACCCTGACCAGAGGGCAATCGGAAAGCAGGGGTTACTGTTAAGTGAGGAGACAACTGCCTTCTTTCCTGTCACCTGCAGAGCTTGGGGTGAAATGCGGTGAGCGCAAAGCATCTTCGAGATTCCCGGAGCCCGGGCTGGGCTGGCTTCCTCAGCCCTTCTCCGCGGGCCGGGACTCAGGGTCCCCAGCCGGCAGAGCTGCATGGATCTGTTTCTGGCCTCCTGGCCCTTTGCAGCTGAGAAGACCACGTGTGCGCAGCTTACTTCTAGTTCCCCATGGACCCGGCAAGAGGGCCGGGCCGGCACATCTAGAGGAGCCAAGTGCCCGGATGACCAGGGTTGGTCACATCAGCTGTTCCCAGACCACCTCGGAAACTTCCAGAGCTGCATCTCCTGAAGCCACCCCTGTGGGAAGGCTGCGGGGTGGCGGCTGCCTCGGGTTGCAAATCGGCATCTGAGCAGAAGCGACCTCAGAGGAAAATAGAGGCGGGGTGTGTGTGTGGGTGGGGGGGGCGCCTCCACGTCTCCTCTGGGTAGAGCGGGGCTAGGATGGAGCTGAAGCCCCTACTGCACTGAGGACCACGGTGAAATCTAGAAGCTGCTGTTGCTGCAAAGGATGAAGGAGCGGTGGACACCCCACCAGGCCCAGGTCCTGATATGGGGGTGGAAGTGACAGGAGAAGTGGAGTCTCACCCTGTACCAGCCCACATCCGGGGCGCAGAAGACACACGGCTCCTGGCTTCCCAGAGAAGGGCTGGGGGCCTCTTCCAGGGTGCAGGAGCCTTAGGGCAGCTGAATGCCTGAGAAGGACTTGCAATCTTCATTTGGGGGCCCCTGCTGCCGTGAAAGGGCCCTGGGGGCCCACGAGCACCTGTTGGGGCCCTGTGGTCTCTCCAGCGGGTGCCTGCTCTTGAAAATGAACGGGCCCTGTCCTGGGTTGGACTTTGAAAGCCCCAACTTCTGCCAGCTACTTGATAGAGTTCTTAATCGTCCACCTCTGTCCAGTGCAGCCTCGGAGGATGAGGTCGATGCCAGCCAGGCCCCGGTTCTCCACCTCCAGGCAGCGTCCTGTGCCCTTATTCATGATGGCTCCGTTCTGGGAGGAGTAAGGAGGAAACAGAGACAGAGATTAAGAGCCATAGCTCCCAGCACATGGGTTTTCACAGGGAACCAGTTCCACCAACATTTCCCCCACCACGCAAGGATCATGAGGGCTTCCTCTGGAGACTGAAAGCCAGAACACACAGGGGGAGATTAAAACACACTGGATGTTTCAATTTTTAAAAATGATTGCAATGAAAGTTGCACGCCCATAGATCCACCTCCAAAGCCTCCCCTTCCCTTTGCAAACACTTATCCCTCGTTCTTGCCACTTTCTGAAGCAGTTCGGGACTCCTTTTCTCTGAGTGTCTACTCAGTGTGATCAAAAAGACAATGACTGCTGCTGCTGAGCATTGTTGGAGGAGCAGCGGGCTCGAACATACCCGACGCTGTGTCCTCATCTCCCGAATTCACCAGATTTGCCACTGTGCCACTGCTGACTCTTCCACAAAGCCAAAATGACCACGAAAGGAAAACATTTCAGATGGATTCAGGACAGGGAGGGAGCCAGGGCAGCACAACTAGAAGGAATGATGAAGAAGGACTTGCAGGACGGCTTCGGAAAATGGCAAAAACAAAGCGATGAGTGTGCTTGAGGGGAAGGAGGGTATTCTGAGGAAGTTTTGGGGGGTTGTGTCTTTTACTGTAACACATGTATAAAAAATGTAATATTCACTGTATTTTCCAGTGACACTGAGTACACAGGCTCTATCAAGTCTGAAGGGCTGTGCAGGTTAGATGCGTGGCTGGGGCTGCGATGGAGTCAGGTGGAGAGTTTCCTGTGACTCTTGCAATTGGATGTTCTTAGCCTTCCTGGCCAAGGAAAGGTCCTTGGGGTTTTCAGGGAAGCGGTGGCACTCTGTTCTCTGCATTTACCAGAACTCAATGGCCTAGCCCTAGTATAGGCATCAGGAAGGCTGCATCCCACAGAAATTTCTCTCTCTCCCCCCCCCCCACACACCTACCTGAGGATGCCTTAGCTTCCCAAGCCCCACTTGGACTGAGAGAGACCTGGGCTCCTGGCTCCACTCTGGACCTCTGGGGAACACAGGTTCCCTTCTGTAGCCCCACCCACAGCTCACTCACCTGGATGAAGTTCCAGCGCTTGTACAGGCTGCTCTTGACCTTGTCGCAGTCGAGGAGCTGGGGCAGCCGACTCTTGGAGTTGTCCACTAGGCAACGTGTATCAGGTAGGAGCGTGGTGGTCCCCAGGGCGCCCAAGTGCAGGAAGCCTTCCTTGGTATAGCGGGCGAGCTACAGGGACAGCAGGGTGGCGGGGGAGATGGAGGCAGAGGTAGAGGTGAGGCCAGGAGAGGAAAGGCAGCCTAGACCTGCAGTATTATCTCTGGCTTATGTCAGGCCTGTGGTGCTGTCCTGCTTCTGTCCTGAAGTATGCCCAACTCACCTTGGCCCAAGAAGCAAGTCACCAAAACAGCATTCAACCTCAGAAGTGTTAAAAGAAATAAAAATGAAAATAATTGTGAGATACCACATTTTCTTTCTTTTTTGTGTATTTGGTACAGGGTCTCACTACAGAGCTCTGAGTGGTAATGATCCTCCTGTTTTCAGCCTCCCCAGTGCCAGGATTCCAGGTGCCCAGTCTCAGTGGCCCAATCAGTGAGCCCAGAGGTGGAGCTAGCATGGCACGTGGTGCCAGGGACCAAACCTCGGTCCCTACACTTGCCTAAGCAGGTGCTTAGTCCCCTGAGCTATCTTGCTGGCCCTACATTTTCGAAAGAGATTGCTTGGAGTTTTGGCAAGGTACCAGCCTAAGATAGGGACCCTTACACAGTAAGGCTGGAGGAAGGATAAATCATTCCAACCTTTCAAAATTGGGACATCTAAACATATACTTTGTGTTTTTAAAATGTTTATCTCTTTTGATTCAAAAATCATTTTTAGAAATTTATCCAAGGGAATAATCAGAATTATGAACCAAGGTTTACAATAAAATATTTGTCACTACATTATTTATAATGGTGAAAAAAGCAAAAGTACTCAAAAGGTGCAAAACATTCCTCATACACACTCTGTGTATACATACATACACAGCTACTGCACCAAATGTCAGGAGAGTTTTGTAGGTTGCAAAGGTGCCCACACTGCCTTCCTTCCTTCTAGTCAACCTTGGTAATGGTTTTGCAGCAATTCCACCACGCAGTGGAATCTATTTTTCTACTCCTTGGATATTGGTTGGCCTTGCGACTTGCTTTGGCCAGCAGAATGTGGCAGATGCAAAGATGTGACTGGTCCTAGACTAGAATTTTGAACTTCCAGGCTTCCATTCCCTCTGAGAACCCTGTTGCTGTCATGTGAGTAGGTGAAGATTGGCCTCTGGAGAAACATATGACCCAACCAAAAGCCACCATCTAGATGAAGCCAACCTAGATCACACAGTCCCCAGCCAGCTTGCTGGTTGTCCCTAGCAGATCCAGGAACAAATCCAGACAAAGCCAACCCAGCCTGGTTCAGCTCACAAAACCACCCAGCTACCCTGTAGACAAATGGCCAAAAATAAACTATTTGTTATGCAGCATTAGCTGACAGACACAAAAGTCATGTTTCCTGGCAGCCTTTCCCATGGCGGCCTGTACTAGGCTAGCAGTCTTCTCCCTTCCTTTTTCTCTCCTGAGAAGTTAAAAATCACCATTCTATCTAAAAACAAATGCATCTTCCACTCATCTTTCACATTACAGACTAAATAATCAAAATATGTGTAGAAGGAGTATGTTATAAACGTGGTATGTACTATCATTTAAAAACAGAAGCCAGATGTATTAACTTAAATTCTGCAAGTGTGTTCTGAGGAGCTCTCTGCTAGCCCAGCGTGCAGACACAAGCCTGGAAATAGGATGGGGCTGTGTTCCCACTGAAAGGCTGAGAACAATGTGAGAGGCCCAAACAACTCTATATTTGTTCACATAATCGTAAGAACAAGGTGGCTGTCAGTTGTTAGCACACGGCAGACGCCTACTAGTATATACGAAAAGCATGCTTCGCATTGTTTCTACGATAGGAATAAGTGATGTAATTTTCACTACAATACCGTGAGACAGATTCTATCATTGTCTCCATTTTATAATGGGGAAACTGAGGTATGAAGACATCTGGACACCTGGCTGTGTCTTGGTCTCTCTCTGTAGGTTCCTAGACACAGTGGCAGGCTGTCCAGCCCAGCAGCTGAGCAGCACAGACAGGGACTTCCCCCAGATCGCTGGGGGATCCCTGCCTTGTTCTTGGAGTGTGGGCCCTTGTACTTCTGAATGAGGCAGGAAGCCCTCTGCTCAGGAACGTAAGTGACTCTTTGCTGGTATCTAAGTTTCTCTGTGGGGGTTCCCAGCTCTTGGTGAAAGCTACTCAAAAACCCTTGGCTCTGATCCCAAAAGGGGACCCTGCCTGCTCCCCTTGAGCAAGTGACAGGGAGTTTATTAAGTGCCCTTGAAAGCGAAGCCATTAACATATGCTGTACACCCAAATTAGTTCCAAATCAGAGTAATTGTCAGAGGCAAAATGGTAAGAAAATCATAAGCCCTCCCTCCTCCTCCCTACACAACATTTCCCTGAATATATTTAAATTCTCCAAATGCAAAGTGATGAATGACAGCAAGCTGCTTTTATGTTCAAGGGAAAGATATACACAGCTGCTTATTGAAATTATGAATCAATCTATTATCCAGCAGGCAAATGAGCAGTGCTAAGAACATTAATTAACTAAGCATATCTCTGACCCAGATGTTTAAAGAGCGAAGCTAAATGCCACCAGGAGTTAAGAGGTTCTTCTTTCGGAGGTATTTTTGAGACATGAAAACAACGAGGTCCATGCGGCCAGGACCTGCAGAGGGCAAATGCCAGCTCTAAGCCACACAGGTGGCAGAGTGGGCAGGGGCAGGTGAAGAGGTCCCTGGTGGAGTTTCTGTTGGGTGAAGTCACTGAACACGCTGGGTTAGTGCACATGGCCTCAGGGGGCAGTGGCTGAGGGTCCAGCATCTGGCTTCTTGCGTGAGAAAGTTGGGAAGAGGGCACTGTGGTTGGAGGACAATGGGGCAGAAGTTCAGCCAACAGCAGACGTGACATCTGCTTTTTCTCCAAATGCATGCAGTCGACCTGCTGCCGAGCAAAGCCCCCTACTTTTGCCCCCGTCCTGGACGGCGTGCTTTCATAGTGCCATCTGTCTATGGCAGCTACTCATTCGCTCTTCTCTCTTCTTAAGCACATCTACCATTTGTTCTCTGTGACTTTTCCTGCCTCTGAGACTCCAGCTCTTTCCCTGCTCAGAGATGATCTTTTCTTGTTTTTCAGAACCAGGGATTTAACGCAGGCCCTTACGCTTGCCAGGCAAGCACTTATCCTACTGAGCCATCTCCCCAGCCCCTGAGAGATGCTCTTGACTGCCCTTCCTCTAGGGCTCTCTGGCTTCACCCTTCCAAGGCTTCTTCAGTGTGATTCTCTCCTTTCACAGTGTCTCCACTAATTCAGTCCCCATCATCCCCTCTCAAAGTCTTGCAGCCACATGGTTCCATGTGCTTTAGTGTCTCTTCAAGGCATGATGGGATATTATTTCTGCTTTGCCCACTTTGATCATCCAATTACCAGCTGACAGGCAGGTGAGTCGCTGTTACTTCTTTGCTGTGGTGAACCAATTATGCACATTCATGTACAACTTTTTATTTTTTCCCATGTGCGAATGAATGTTTCCAGTTCTCTTTGTTGCAGCATGCTATGATCACTTCTTTTTATATTTTATTCTTTTAAAAGCTGTCCAACTAACTTTCAAAGCAGCTACACTGCTGTATATCCCACCATCAGAGGATGGCAGCACTGATTTTGGCAGCTTGGTCAAGTGTCATTATTGTCTGCTTTTTTAAAACCTTCCACTTATCTTAGTGTGAAGTGGGCAGTATGCTTTTGATTTACATTTTTCTAATGATTAATAACACTGAGCATCATTTTATGTACTTCCTACCAATTTACATCTTTTTTGGAAAAATATGTATTCAGACCTTTTGCCCATTTTATTTATTCTTGATAAAGTCTTATCAAATATGTAGTATAAGAGAAGGTCCTCAACCTCCCTAGGTGCTGGGATTATACGCGTGAATGGATTTTCTTTTTATTGTTGAGATGTAAGACATTCTTTATATGTTCTGGATAGCAGACCTTTTGCAGGTATAAAATTTGTGTTTTCTTCCATTCTTGGTTCTTTCTCTTTCTCTCTCTTTTTGATAGTGTCTTTGAAGCATCAAAGTTTTTAATTTGGATGAAGTCCAATTTATCTATTTTTTTCTTTGGTCACTTGTACTTTTGATGTCATATCTAAGACAGCACTGCCAAATCCAAGGTCATGAAGGTTTGTCCCTTCCTATGTTTTCTAAGACTTTTATCATTTTAGCTTTTGTGTTTAGGTCTTTGATCCGTTTTGACTTTTTTTTCCTATGTAGTATAAGAGAAGGTCCCACATACTTTCTCTTTCATGTGGCCATCTCATTGTCCCAGTAGCATTTGCTGAAAAAGCCATTCTTTCCCTATTGAAGTATTTTGCACTCTTGTCAAAAACCATTGACTGTAAATGCGAAGATTTATTTCTGGTCTTTCAGGCCCATCCCGCTGATCTCGGAGTTCATCTTTCTACCAATACTGCACTGTCTTAATTATTATAGCTTTGCAGTAAGTTTTAGAACCGGCACGTGTGAGCCTTCCAAGTTAATTTTTCTTTTTCAACACTATTTTGGCTCTTCTGGGCCTCTTGCATTTTTGTATACATGTCAGGGTCAGCAGCCTCATTTCTTCAAAGAAGACAGGTACAATCTTGATGAGGGTTGCATGAAAACTGTAGGTCAGTTGGGGAGTACTCCCATCTTAGTGTTCAGCTTTCTTTTTAATCCTGCCTTTTATGCTGTTTCTTTTATTAGTACATGTCTGAGATATAGAATGAATATATTCCTTATGGGCAGTTGGTACATAGACATATCACATCTTAATTCCTTTTCCTTTCTCCCTCCTCTCTCTCTCCTCTCCTGATCCCTTGCCCGCCTGTTGGAGGTCTACCTCCCTGTTTTCTATTATTTTGCTCTTTAAATTATTTATGCCTTGAGTTTCTCATGCAAGAGAAGCCATGTATATTTACCCTCCTGCGTCTGACCTATTTCACTTAGCACCGTGATCGAGAGAGTTACAGATGTCATATTACAGTGATGCCCCCTTGTCTGCACTTATAGCAGCGCAGCTCAAGTCTGGACCTCTAATCTATGAACACC